AGATACACTTTTTGGTTTTTGAGAATTGATATCATTTATTGTTTGATTAATGACCTTACAGCCAGGAAATGGAATGGATATATAGAAACATTGCCATGCAGCTGAGTCTGGGGAGGTCTTTCATGTGCACTAGATGAAACCTCAACCTGGATGGGAGAGGGTTCTTGACTCTGCTTGAGAAAGAATTCTCGAATGGACCCAACAAGTGTAGGTGAGGAAGGAATTCATTAAAGCAAGTGTAGTAGTTCGTGGCAGCAGCCATCCAGGCAGTAGAGAGCAAAGAAGAAGAGAGAGGAAAGGAAACGAAGTTCATTGAACTCCTGGACATAGAGCAGATCCCTTGCCAAATCCTGAAGCCAGAATCACCTGGCATCCAGTAGCCACTTGAATCTGCACAGCGTGGGAACTAAGTCCCTACCACCTCAGGATTTGGGGGAACTGCAGAGCACTGGATGAAGTGAGGTTATGTTCTGAGAACTTCCAAAGCAAGAGATTTTCGGGCATGCTGCCTAAAGAGAATGATCATACAGCTGAGTCCTGCCCAGGTCAGCTATGCAGTGTGGGAACCTGCAAGCCCAAATCAGAGATCTTAGTCCTTCTCTACTTAGCTGAAGTAGAACGGGGGGTGGGGGGGGTGGTGAAGACTAGTGCTCAAGTCTAGAAGATTGAATGAAGTGGTGAAATAACAAAGACACTTAACACTGGGAAAAAAGGGGTCTCTTACAATCTCCCAAAAGGCTTGGAAGAAAGCACAGAGACAAAAATGCAGTAAATTAGGCAGCAAGAAGGCTTAATTTAAGGCAAGTACACACACAGAGAAAGGGGAAGCAGACAGCCTCAGAGAGAAGGGTACTTTTAAGGGTTTTAGGTTTGGCATTTTATAAGGGCCTTTTGGGTAGGGTCAGCATAAGGCATGATGTATACAACTGATTCATAATTCCTTTGAAATTTTGTCTTAAAAATAGGGTTGTTAAGGTGGTGTGTTGGTCCAGATTTCAGCATTCTTTACCCATGTAAGGTTTATTTACACTGGAAATCTGTTTCTCCTCTTGGTTACAAAGTTACTTAATTGATTAAGGGACTGGAAGAAGAGGAAGAACAGCATACAGATTAAATTGAAGAATAAGCTTGGCCTTTTTCACAGACTAAGTAGATTTTACAGTGGCATGCCCCTTGTCCTATTTCCCAGAAATATTATTTTTCTGAGGGACCAGATTGGCTTAACTGATTCAGGATTGTTGTCAAAGATCAATCAGTATTTTAGATTTGAAGAAGTTAATTAAAGGTAGCTTCCATGAAGTTTTTCTCACTTAGAATTGATTTGTCATTAAGAAAGTGATTTTTCCAAAATACAGTTTATGTCATCTTCATAGTCTGTGACCAAATTTCATTTGGAATTACCATTTCCAGGGGAAAAGCCTACTGTTAAGTATTAACTTCTTAGTACTAAATATGAAATCTTACTTTTTCATGGTGTGTGTTCTGCTATAAGTTGAGGGGTTGTGGAGCGGGAGATGACTCAGTAGGAAACTGCAGTGGCAGTGTATTTTTAATACACTAAGTTGAGATCTACAGCACAAGGGTGTGCTTTAAGTGAACCACAGCTGGGCTTTTTTATCCCAATTGTGCAAGGATCCTTGTTTGTAGTTGTGAAAGCCCCGTGTTTCTTACTTTGAGCAGGTATTGCATCAGACAGTTGTTGAAAAAGTAACCTTATTTTTCTAGGTTCTGTAGAAGTCCTTATCCACTCTGGTCTTGGTTTTAGTGAACCATTTAAAAATTTTCTCCTCACTTGAATTATTTTTGTTCTGTTTCTTTCATGATAAACTCAAATCTAGATTCAAGACCCTTCACTGAAATGACCTCTGACTAGCAATCATGAGCTCCAATATTACTTAGGTCAAATTCAATAGGAAAAAAATAATTCCTTTTGACTCAGTGTATCTGGATGTATGGTATTACAATTTGAGATGTCCTGCCATTCTTTATCACTTTCTAGGATGTCTCAACCAAGGCCAAGAAATGTAGTATTTCACTTTGTGTTCTTAAATCTTTTAGAGTGCCCCTATCATTTTGAGTCTGCTTGCTACTGCATTCTTTCATTTCTTCTTCCATATAACAACACATGTGTCCTCACCCTTTCCTGCCAGATAATATATGCCCCTTAAAACTTCTCCTGCACAAGCTTCCAGTAAATCTAATAGATGACAGCTGGCTTCTGCTCAAACCAAACACATGAGTATAGGAATCGAGTGATCATTATACATAACATATCAAAGATGATGATGTTAATTAAAGGTGGACTTATATTAATATAAAAGCAAGTATTTTGTATACTGCACCAGTACCATCAGTTCCACATCCTTTTCTGCTGCCATTTGAGGTTTTATAGAAGCTCAGGCTTTGATCCTTACAATACAAATTTTAAATCCCATTATATTACTGGATGGATACTTACTGTGTCTATGCTGTTTTATTTAAAGATTGAGTAGAACTATAACTACTTTTTTGTGCTAAAGTCAAAGACAATCAGATATGTAATGGTATAACTCTACTAGTTTTTTATGATAAATTGGTATTTGTTGTTACATATTTTTAATAACTGCCCCTGAGAAGAACTTTTGTTATGTGTGTTCTAATTGTGAATACAAGTTCCTTTGGGTAGCAAATAAAAAATTAGGTCTTAATAGAAAAAAATAATTTAGGTGTAGAAATAATTTGGGTGTAGGGAGAAGATACGTCAATCTGGATTTTGGTGGTGGTAGATTCTTGGTGGAGGTGAAACTTCCCCTTTCTTCCTTCCTTTGTGTCTGCATGTGTGTTTCTGTCTATATCCACTTATCTTTATAATCTGACACTTAGACATGACTTTTGACTACCTTAAACTCTAAGTTGTTGATGTATTGTTATTAGCCTTTCAGAATGGTAAAACATTTTAGAAAAAGCCCTAAAAAGAAATTGTATTCATTAGTCCATTCTTTATATGTAGATATGGCCATTTTCCCAGAGACAAGAGCACTTTATACCAAATTAGTTTTAATGAATGCCAAGTTTCATATTTATTTTGTAGAGACAGATTCCATTGGTAAAATTTAGTGGGCTGATATTTTGTATTTATATTTAAGGTCACATTAGTCTCCTTTACCTTTAGATAAAATTTCAATTTCATACGTTCTCATGTCTTTTGTGTGATTACTACTCTCTCACTTAAATCTAGTCATAAAGTATAGGAAACATCTCACATCTAGAGCACCATTAGTTTACAAAAACCCCAAATCTGGAAGTCCTTTTGATTAGCAGTGTAGTTCATTTCCTCTTATTAGGTAAGTTAGTTATAAAACCAGATATTTGTTTGACTTAATCAAAAAACTGAAGTCTGATAAAGAGAATACAGTATTTTATTAAAATAATCACCCACTATTCTATTAATCATAGATTATAACTGTACCATTCTACTCATAATAATCTTTATAGTTTAGATTAGAAAGTGACCTAGTATCATCCTAAGCAAGGATATCAGTGGAGAGGAAAGGGAGGATTTGGGTTGAACTGTATGATCTTGCAAGTGTGGTCTTTTGTAGAAATCTGTCTCCCAGGTCTTAAATTAAGATGCAGGGGATGGGTAGTGGCCTGGCATACCTCATATGCTGACTGTAGAATGCTCCCTTCCACCTTAGTTCTGTGGCCAAGCCCTTTCTTCCAGTGACATCACTTGAAATTGTATTTATAGGGAAATAAATAAAGTACCGAGTTCTGCATTTAATAAGGCTTTAGGAATCTAGGTATATGAGATTTGATATAATATCCATACATAATATATGAGTGCTGAGACTTTCTCATACATATCAAATGCTCACTTAGATTCCTTTGTCCTTATGTTCTGATTTTGTAAATTCAGATCAAGGCCAGGCATGTGATAAGCTTACTGAATCAATATGCTACAAACCAACAATTTATATATTGTATCAATCTTCACAATTTGATTTGTGGTTTTGCTATTCCATAGCTGTGTGTGCGACTTTGGACAAGTTCTTAAATCTCTTTAAGACTAAGGTTTTTTATTTTGTAAATTGAATATCAACGTAGTATCTTAATAGATTGCTATACAGATTAAATGAAATAATTCATATAAAATCTTTAGCACTATAACTGGCCTGTATAGTACTCAACAAATGGTTATATTATTATGATAGAATTTTTTTATTTTTCATTTTTAACTATCTCTGTAAGAAAATAAAATGAGCAATAATAAATTAACAATCTTATCATCCAAGATCACAGAGTTCATTTACTCTCTGTCTTGCAAACACAATTTAAACAACTAATTCACTCAGCCTAAGATCCTTCCTAAATGCTGGGAGGGCTGACTGTAATATTTCAGTTTTAAGAGCAGGTCCTTTTATTGATAGGCTGTAGTTTTGTGTTCCTTCTTTCTTAGACATATTTACATATATTTTTACCAAGTCAATTTTGAAAGCTGCATGTTGGAAGAAACTGTTGGGCTCACAGATGGCATTTATTTAAAAATTTCTGAAGATATTCTTGGAACCAGTGTTTGAATATCTTTGTGTGGCCTCTCATATGCTGCCCATGTACAGCATAAATTTATGTCTATATTAAGGTAAATGAACACTGTAGCCAGGTTGGGGAACTTTCATGATAAATCCAGACAAAAGTGAAATGTATGTAATTCTGAGATCTAAAAACAATAAAAACATGATAAAAAAGATGTACTATAAAGTGGTTTTAATAAAAGAATAATCTGCATGACAGGAAAGCCACTATGGCTCCAGGAAGATGAAGCAACAAAATGTTAGCACTTTGATTATTTTCTTTTATGTTTAAATCAAAGGGTACTATGGGGAAGTCTGTAAAGGGTTTGAGATGGTTTGAAGGAAATAAAAAGGAATGGAGAAACTAGAAATGTATCACCTAACAGAGCATTGATGGAAGCAAGCTGTTAAGAATCTCTGGGTATTATATTTGCATCTCATCCTAAGGGAGAGGAAGAAGATGAGGATGTTCATGTAGAAGCTGAAAAACTGAAAGGGCAAGTTCATTTGAAAGTTCTGTGACTGCAGGATCCTGAGTGAAAATCAAATTCAACTGTACACAGACTCCATGAACAACTTCATAAAAGAAAAGCCATTCTAATTTTTAGGATGCAGTTTGAATGCAATGTTATTACCCTTCTGTGTCACCCCAAAGAGAGAGAAAAGAAGCAAAAGCCCCTACTTTTGTTTATAATCATGGTATAAAAAGAGCCTAAAATATGTATGTTTTCTTATTTGTAGTGACACTGTAGTCATCACTCCAAATTACTTTTTTCTGGCAATGAGAAAACAATGTATCTATATTTATAAAAAAGAATGTCAAGACAATAAGCTCTATGGAGAGAATATTAAAGAATTAACAGATATAATGTAGACTGTGAGTTGTTCTTGTTTGAAGACTACCTACCTCAAATTTTTATATTGTTTAAGGAATAATACTAAATTCAGCCATCTTCCTCACTGTTCTGTGTTCTCCAGGGAGTTGAATTTGCAGATACTGTATATTGTACATAGAATAATTTTCATCATATCATGTGTTTGTCTAAAGGGCTTAAATAGGTGCACAGAACTTAGCAGACACTTTAAGAAGATAATTCAGTGCTTGTAGGACAAACTGTTGAATACTGACCACTTTAATTTTTACTAGCTATCTCAGCTGTTATTCTTGCTTTTATAAACAAATGTGAACAGTATTTCCATGAACTTATATTTGCCATGTGCCTAATAGTGTTGTATCACTCAAAAGGGAGATTCAGTCTTAAAGATCACTTGTCTAGACTCTTTTCCCTCCAACAAAATCTTCAAGGAATTTGCCTGCCTTAGTTTTACAACCATAAAGTTGTTTTGGGGAAGAAAATGTTTCTGAGTTTTTTGAGATCCTTATATTTTTTAAATATCTAAGTGGTGGGGGGGAGGCATGTGTCATTTGTAACTTCTGTCTTCAGTTAATTCTGATTAAGAGCACAGCAATCAGGTTGCCAGCTTTGCTTCCTGTGGACACTAAATATTGGCTCTGACGTGTTCAGTAAGTTACTAACTTTCTGTGTGTTTCAGTTTTATCTTCTATGAAATCAGAATAATAGCATCTTCTGCATAATATTGTAGAATAAAATTAGAAAATCTAAAGAAAGTATTAAGATAGGTGGGAAATTCAAGGTAAATGATAATAAATGATAAATGTTGCTGTTTTCTGCATTTACTACACTAATCCACATAGCTGGACAGCTGCACTTATTTTTAATTCATCAACTATTAATATTGCAAATGCAAAATATGCATTTAGATAATTTACAACCTAATAAACATAAATATTTATAAACAAATATCTGGGTATAAACCTGAAAGAAAAATCTTTTTAAGAGAATTAATTACCCCTGAAAATATTGGGGGAAAAATTACTTTTATTTGGGAGAATTATGGAAGGTACTGGCTTTTGTGCTGGGCTTCATAAAGATGTACAGGGTTTCAGAAGGCTTAAAATAGAGAAAAAGGTTGTGCCTGGACAGAAGACCATAAACTAGCATCTTTTAGTACCAACCAGGCATTATATACTAAGTGCTACCTTAATTCACAATCATCACCATAAAACTTTTAAGGTATATTCTTTTGCCTCCGTTTACAAGTGAAATTGAGGCTCAGAAAGGTTAACTGATTTACCCAAGATAGTACAACTAAATTAAGGAGTAGAAGCATTGGAATTTGAATTCAGGTCTGGTTGGCTCCAAAACCCACACTTTCTGCTACACTGCCTTCAGACTGGAGAACAGTGTGGACAGGTGCAGATGAGGGAAACTGCAATAGATACATAGGAAACTTTTAGTAGAATGGTGTAAGTAAGAAGGTGGGGTAGAAACTCTTGGGAAATAAGACTGGAGAGGTAGCTTGAATGCCATGCTGATAAAAGAAATGTGGGCTTTCTTTTCTGGGCACTAGTAAGCCCCTAAAGCCCACTGTATAGGGAGATAAAATCACATGAGGATATTCTCATAGTAGCGTGTAGAGTGCAATGAGAGGAGATTGAAAGTAGAGAGTCCAGTTAGATAGGTTATTAATTTAATCAGCATTTATGTCTATTGTTTCCTTTTTAAAATGTTGAAGTTCACCTCATACATTACAAACATGCTTATTTAAAGATGTTTAAATATACTCAGTTAAAAAAATTTGTTTAAGCTATGTTCAAGGATATATAGCTATTATCTCCCACCTACTAGCATGCAACTTGTTTTTTTCTTTTTCCAAGAATTTTACCTGTTTAACTCAATACAATTGAATTGAAGAGTTTTGCTAAGAGATAGGATTAAAGAAGATGACTTTAGGTGCTTGAGGGGTGGAAGTGAGGGAGTGAAACATCACTGAGGGACTAGGAAAACTAATCCTATCTTTTAGTTGCCACTGACTCTTTGTTATCCATAAATACAACCCTAACTCTGGTATGAGAATGTTAGTTTGTATGTTTACCCAACTTCTTGTTCTCATATATCATCAACTAATACACAAGCTAATTCACAATTTCACATCATCCCCAAACACCATTTTTTCCCCTTAAATCAGTGCATTTTGCATGACCTTGTCTCCACTGCCTGAAATACTTCTCCATATTTTCTCTTAAGAAATTTCAACTGTTAAGTTTCCACATTCCATTTGTGGACGTTCTTATTTCTCTCAGAGGATCACTTGCCTGCTTGCTTCTTCAGTGACCCTTTTGAGCTCTATATTTCTTATAATAATATAGTAGTTTTCTGTTTAAAAGTCTGTTTACCCTGCTGGTCTGTAAACTCAAGATCAGACATCTTGTCTTACTCATCTGGGAAAGTTCCCTGCACAGTGGCTGTCGTGTAATATCCACCCTAATGATGTTACATGGAGGGTGACAATAGATAAATAAAACGGCATGAAATTATTAGTCAACTTAATGCTGAAGTCACTATTGTATCATGAAAGTGCTGTTGTAATGGACATCTATTCTCTCTGTGGAAGCAATTTAGAGAGTTACCTATCACTTTGGAGATAAGGAAAAGCATTGTCCAAAAGATCCTGTCAAAGCTGAGTGAGCTCCAGGGACTTATGCAAACGCTGTTTATGCTACAGGTTTGACTACAGGGCAGAGCTGGCTTTTGAGATCACCAGTACCTTCTAATGCCCAAATCCAATAACTCATTATGACTAAGCAATCTTTTCATGATTTTGGTGATTTTGACAGTTTTGGCTGCCTTCTCACAAACTCTTACTCTAGCCTTAGCTAGAAGTAGCTCCCTCACTTAAAAACACTTATAAAGCTGTACACTATATGCCGTATACTTATGTATGTGTTGTATTTTGATCATAACAACTCTAGCTAGGTTTTATTCCTTTCCCTTCCCTTCATTAGCTCAATTAGCTCAGTTTTATTTTACACTTGAGGAAACAGATCCAGAGAGGTTAAGAACTTGTCAGTGATGACATAGTTTGGAAGTGTTGTGGCTTTGAACTCAAGTGTATGTGACTCCAATGACATGTTTATTCCACTCTGCTACTCTAGCTATCTATATGGCAGATTTGTCCACATGTTTGTTGATTTTATGGATACAGATTATCTTATATGGTCAGGCCCATTTCACCTGAAGGCCAGTTCCTAACATGTCCAGGAATATAGAAGTGAACTCTGTGGAGTTGCTTTTTCTGTAAGAGATACCTAGACACTTAGATGATCAGGGGCTTAGAATTGAATATAAAATATGGCTTGTCACTTTAACGAGGATGAGATTCCAAGTTGGAAATAAAGTTGTTACCTAAAATGCAAACGAGATAAGGAGGAAATAGAAATACCAGAAAGAAAACTCACAATTCTTTACAACTTGAGAAAGCCCTGAAGGTATACTTGGTCTGCCATATAAAGTTTGCAGCAATGATGTTTATCAGGGAAGACTTCACATCTGATCATAGTAGTTGCTTCAGGGACTCAGAACAGGATGGTGAGAGATACTTTTCTGTTGCACTCTAAATTTTTACCAAAGTGTATTCAAGTAAACCAGCAAGTTTCTTTTAAAAAGAGAAAGATGTCACAATTTCTGAAGAATGGTGCATTATTGTCCCTGTTTTTAATCCAGCAGTCTTGCTAAAATCTTACAAATTTTAATTATCCATTTCTACATTCTTTAGATTTTTTAGGTACACAGTAATATTATCCACAAATAAAGTTTAATCTCTGCCTTCTGATTTTTATAACTTTATATCTTTTATTCATTTTGCCTTATTCTGATGGCCAGGACCTCTAGTATAATGTTGAAGAGAAATGATTCTTTCTGGCATCTTTATCTGGTCAGTCACCAAAGGGAAAAATTTTGAATATGTCATCATTACGTATGATGTCTGCTGTAGGATTTTTGTATACACACTCACAAGGAAATTTCTTTCATTTTTCGGCTTGCTAAGAGTTCTTACAAATTAATGCTGAAGTATATTACTGCTATCTTTCATACCTACTAAAGATAATGTAGTATTTCTTTTTTAAATTGTGATGTGATAATTTTTTTTTCTAATGCTAAATGAATCTTGCATCATTGGAATAAGTCCAACTTGTTTAGGATGTATTGTCATCCTTACATGTCATTAAAATTGACTTGCTACTATTTTGCTCAAGATTTTTTCAGCTATTTGCATGAATAACTTTGGTTTGTGATTTTCTTTTCTTGCATTAACCTTGTCACATTTTGATTTCATGCTTATATTAGCTTCATAAGACAAGGAGTGAGCCTTCCTTTTCTGTGGGAAAATTTGTGTACCATTGGAATTACTCCTTTCTTGAATATCTCATTGAACTTGGAAGTAAAAGTCATATAAGCCTGAGGTAGAAAAAATTTTTGACAGATAATTCATTTTTTAATGCCTGTAGGATGATTCATGTTTTCTATATGTTCTTGATCTACTTTAAGTTTTTTGTAGAAATTATCCACTTGGTTTAAATACTCAAATTTATTAAGATTAAATCTTTTATTTCCATTTTTTTTCTGTAAAACTGTTCTACATTCTCATTCTGAGGACAGGAAGTCAGTTCAGCATAATGCTTAACATTTGAAAAAAGAAACTTAGGGAAGGGGTATATTCTGATTTTGTAAGATAGTACAACTAAATTAAGGAGTAGAAGCATTGGAATTTGAATTCAGGTCTGGTTGGCTCCAAAACCCACACTTTCTGCTACACTGCCTTCAGACTGGAGAACAGTGTGGACAGGTGCAGATGAGGGAAACTGCAAGATACATAGGAAACTTTTAGTAGAATGGTGTAAGTAAGAAGGTGGGGTAGAAACTCTTGGGAAATAAGACTGGAGAGGTAGCTTGAATGCCATGCTGATAAAAGAAATGTGGGCTTTCTTTTCTGGGCACTAGTAAGCCCCTAAAGCCCACTGTATAGGGAGATAAAATCACATGAGGATATTCTCATAGTAGCGTGTAGAGTGCAATGAGAGGAGATTGAAAGTAGAGAGTCCAGTTAGATAGGTTATTAATTTAATCAGCATTTATGTCTATTGTTTCCTTTTTAAAATGTTGAAGTTCACCTCATACATTACAAACATGCTTATTTAAAGATGTTTAAATATACTCAGTTAAAAAAATTTGTTTAAGCTATGTTCAAGGATATATAGCTATTATCTCCCACCTACTAGCATGCAACTTGTTTTTTTCTTTTTCCAAGAATTTTACCTGTTTAACTTAATACAATTGAATTGAAGAGTTTTGCTAAGAGATAGGATTAAAGAAGATGACTTTAGGTGCTTGAGGGGTGGAAGTGAGGGAGTGAAACATCACTGAGGGACTAGGAAAACTAATCCTATCTTTTAGTTGCCACTGACTCTTTGTTATCCATAAATACAACCCTAACTCTGGTATGAGAATGTTAGTTTGTATGTTTACCCAACTTCTTGTTCTCATATATCATCAACTAATACACAAGCTAATTCACAATTTCACATCATCCCCAAACACCATTTTTTCCCCTTAAATCAGTGCATTTTGCATGACCTTGTCTCCACTGCCTGAAATACTTCTCCATATTTTCTCTTAAGAAATTTCAACTGTTAAGTTTCCACATTCCATTTGTGGATGTTCTTATTTCTCTCAGAGGATCACTTGCCTGCTTGCTTCTTCAGTGGCCCTTTTGAGCTCTATATTTCTTATAATAATATAGTAGTTTTCTGTTTAAAAGTCTGTTTACCCTGCTGGTCTGTAAACTCAAGATCAGACATCTTGTCTTACTCATCTCGGAAAGTTCCCTGCACAGTGGCTGTCGTGTAATATCCACCCTAATGATGTTACATGGAGGGTGACAATAGATAAATAAAACGGCATGAAATTATTAGTCAACTTAATGCTGAAGTCACTATTGTATCATGAAAGTGCTGTTGTAATGGACATCTATTCTCTCTGTGGAAGCAATTTAGAGAGTTACCTATCACTTTGGAGATAAGGAAAAGCATTGTCCAAAAGATCCTGTCAAAGCTGAGTGAGCTCCAGGGACTTATGCAAACGCTGTTTATGCTACAGGTTTGACTACAGGGCAGAGCTGGCTTTTGAGATCACCAGTACCTTCTAATGCCCAAATCCAATAACTCATTATGACTAAGCAATCTTTTCATGATTTTGGTGATTTTGACAGTTTTGGCTGCCTTCTCACAAACTCTTACTCTAGCCTTAGCTAGAAGTAGCTCCCTCACTTAAAAACACTTATAAAGCTGTACACTATATGCCGTATACTTATGTATGTGTTGTATTTTGATCATAACAACTCTAGCTAGGTTTTATTCCTTTCCCTTCCCTTCATTAGCTCAATTAGCTCAGTTTTATTTTACACTTGAGGAAACAGATCCAGAGAGGTTAAGAACTTGTCAGTGATGACATAGTTTGGAAGTGTTGTGGCTTTGAACTCAAGTGTATGTGACTCCAATGACATGTTTATTCCACTCTGCTACTCTAGCTATCTATATGGCAGATTTGTCCACATGTTTGTTGATTTTATGGATACAGATTATCTTATATGGTCAGGCCCATTTCACCTGAAGGCCAGTTCCTAACATGTCCAGGAATATAGAAGTGAACTCTGTGGAGTTGCTTTTTCTGTAAGAGATACCTAGACACTTAGATGATCAGGGGCTTAGAATTGAATATAAAATATGGCTTGTCACTTTAACGAGGATGAGATCCCAAGTTGGAAATAAAGTTGTTACCTAAAATGCAAACGAGATAAGGAGGAAATAGAAATACCA